ATAAACAATTTATAATACTAAATATTTAAATATATGTATCTCAATGAATATCTAACCAATTTTAATAATTTTACTACTATTAGAATTAGAAGAACCTGTTTTATATCTTTTATTAGAAATTTAAAATCAGTTTACTTAATAAAATTTTCTTTAATTTTTAAAAAGAAAAAAGCTACCATTAGTTTTATATATAATTTGCAAATAGTATTCTTTACCCTTAAGTACAAAAATATATATTTACTTAGTAAAATTTTAATTTCAATAGTTAAAAAATTTTAAAAAATTTAGAGGTAGCTTATTTTGAGGTAAAAGATATTTTACATGTTTTACATGAAAAAAAGTAGTTAGCAAGTGTTACAGAATCAGTAGCTTAAAAAAATCTAAAAAAATAACCTGGCTAGATTAATTTTTATCCGAAGGATATTACAAATAGAGCAATAGTATACCCGATATCTATATATTAACAAATTCTAAATTTTGATTAGCTAGATTAGATATAACATGAAAAAAAAACAATTAAAACAATAGGTAGTCAATGCTTATTGGCTAGATACAGTGTAATTAAAAAAATTAGCCTTCAGACTTCAAATAGTTTCTATTTTTTTATTAGTAAAGACAAATAAGTTAGGAGTATCAGTTTAGCTAATACTAAAAAGTGGTGTGTTTTTGGTACAAGACAAATATTAGCCAAAGTGATAAGTGAAGAAATCTGTAGTAGCTACTGCAATAATATTAGAAGATTTAACTTGTTATATAAATCAGTTAATTGATAAAACAGGCATGAAGAAAATAATATATAACAAACTTTGGATATTAAGAGCAAAGTTATTGAAAGAATGAAAAACAAAATGGTTTAAAGCTATTGAGAATAAGATTATTAGTTGTGTAGAGAGTAGAGAGGTAGCAAATATTTATAAGTTGCTAAAAGGGAATATAATATATATACAAATGAAAACAAAGAAGTTAACTAAAAATAATATGAATAAGTAATCATTAATAAAAAGAATTAACTAAAAATTTATATAACTCAAAAATAAGCTATTTTAGAAAGTTTCATATAATTTTTTGCTCAAAAAAAATAGCTTATTTTTGGGAATATATAGTAATAATCTTTAGTTTAAAGCTAAACTTTTTAATCTCTAATAGTTTAAAATTAATTTTCTATTATAGTTGAAAATTCTTTACTATATTCTTTATTATATTCTTTAAATTAAATAACTAGTATACCTTATATAATAAGAGAGCTAACAATTATTAGGTGATTTTCTAGGAAGAGGCTAATTGATTATATATTAAAAACTATGAGAGAGAAGTAAGCTTCTGATAAAAAAAATCAAATAATAAATGATATTGTTTTAATATAATTAGTTAAAATAATCTTTTAAAATAAAAAAAATTTTTACTAAATAAAAAATTTTTTTAGCTTAAAAAAAAGTTACAAAGAAGGTTTTTTTGATTTTAATGATAATTGAATCATTAAAATTGGCTTGGTAAATTCCAAGATACTTAGAATTAAAGAAGAGAATATAAAAATTTACAATTTTATTATTATATAAAGTATTATACTTTTTTTTTTTTTTTTCCTTTGACAAGTCCTGCTATGACTATATAATCTCTCTAGTTATATACCCAACCTGAAGACTGGTTACTGCATGCTTTTTGTACGGGACCTGGTCTGGATTTCTGGTACCACATTGGGTACCCGGATTCGACCGCCTATACCAACGTTCAGAGATGTCGAATTATCTTTCTATTGTATTGGGATTTTATTAGCCAATCTGGTGTTGCCATGAGTTCTTGTAGTATCTTTATCAGACTCGGCCTCATATTACGTCTCGTAACTTTGGTTAATTCAAATTGGGGTTCTAACACATCTCGCTTCACAGCCACAACTTCTCGAAATAACTATTCTCCGAATATGTCTATCCGTAGATATCCCAGGTTCCCTGTATCTCGTGGTGTTTCACTTCCGTTTTTGAATTTTCATTAATCCACCATTGGAAGGAATTAAACCAGCAACTATCCGATTTGCAACCTGGAAGCATAACTGCTATGCTATCGACCCACAGGCTAAAGTATTATACTTTGTATAATAGTAAATTTGTAAATTTTTAAGTTTTCTTTTTTAATTCCAAGTATCTTGAGATTCACTAAACCAATTTTAATAATTTAACCACTATTAGAATTAGAAGAACCTTTTCTATAACTTTTTTTAAGCTAAAAAAATTCTTTATTTAGTAAAACTTTTTTTTTTTTTTTTTTTTAATCTTTGATAGTCTTGCTAGTGCTTAATTTATTAAGACTATATTTGGTGACAATAAACCATTTTGAATAATACAGTCTTTCTCCTCTACAGTTACCTTCTATATAATTACACCCTCTTTATAAGCACTATTTTTTGAAAAATTATTAACAATATATTTATTAAAAAAACTCTATATAATCATATTACTATTGAAATTTTATAATCATATTTTTTTTATGTAAAACAAACAGGGTAATTATAGAGGAGAATAACTGTATATGCGTATTATTCCTAACTTAAACAGAGAGCCTTGTGATTGCAAGCCTGACAATATCTAGCTGCGATAAATATACCCACATGCGACTTGTTACACTAACTTATATACAAGTTAGATAAACTTTGTTAGCTCATCAAAGTTAATTCCTTTATATCTTCTTTCTTTACCAAAAGCAAAAGAAAGTAATAATCTCATATCTAATACAAAACCACCAATAATATACAAATCAAAAAACTAACTACAAAAAAAAAAATAGTATAAAGAGAAATTTTAAAGAAAAAAATAAAAGAAGATACAATGATATATAAAAAAAGAAGATTAAAGAGAAAAGCCTAAGAGCCAACAAAGAGAAAACTACCTCTATCAAGAAATAGTACAAATGAAATAAAAGAAAAAAAGAAATACACTATTATAACCCATGCCAGGTTTAAAAAAAAATTTATAACAATTGCAATATTTATATATTTTGACTAAAATGCAAAACCTTAAAATAGTATCTGATTACTAACCAACTTTAGATACTTCTTATGCCAGAGACCCAATCCTAGTTATATGGAAGACTCTGTATTTACTGATTACATCATGTATTATATCTACCAATAAATAAGGCACATAGTTGCATTCTTGGGTACATCTGAATTTAATAAGTAAATAATGCTAATTTTTTGGAGAAGGTAAGCCAAATTGCCTACTTTTGTTAAAAATTTTTGAAAAACCAGTCAAACAAAAAGAAGGACCTAGAGAAAGACCACTTGTACCCAAGAAAAATAGTTATATTCATGAAAAGACTCAATAACTTCTAAAAAAGGAGTAAAGCATTTTTATTTTCTTTTCTGTAAGTAATAAACTCTAAACTTGTTAGCAAGTAGCATATAAGAATTACTTCTAAATGACAAGTGCTGTGTGTGCAGTGAGTGATAAATTCTGGAGAAGTTAGCAGGTAGTATATGAGAACTACCTCTAAATAACAACTGCCAACTTATTACTGCTAGTATACTCTTTGTTTTTACTATATGCTATTGTGTTTTTACAAAAAATGTGTTTAGATTTTTTGGTATAGATGATTGTTGGAAAGAGTTTTACCTTACTCATAAAACTTTCTTTAATTTTAAAAGATTATTTTAACTAATTATATTATTGTATATATTGGGAAAGTACAAAAATGCTAATAATCTGCATATTATAATTTTATAATAAAAAAATAGTAAAATTATTTTTTGTTATTTCTTACTTACCATATTACCACGTAATAATGCGCAGGGGTGAAATTATGAATTTTGACCCGAATTAAGCCTAATTCGAGCCGAACCTCAAAATAACACTCATGGGCATTATTACGCGAAAATATGGTAATAATAATTTTTCTTTTCTAATTCTAAAATCTTCCAATCTTTATTACATTCTTAACAACTTTATGTTTTCAAAATTTACATATCATATTAAAAATTTTTAATTACAAATATATTCCAAAATTAGTATAATTAAACTTTATATACAGTATATATATATCAATTTGAAATATAGATTATTTGAAAATTTTAATATAGTATATAAAACTTGAAAACATAAAGTTGTTAAGAATGCAATAAAGGTCGAAATATTTTAAAATTGGAAGAGAAAAATTATTATTAAGCGAGAAATAATAAAAATATTTTTACTATTCTTTTATTATAAAAATTACAGTAATAATTTTTTGATCAAAAAATCTGTCATAATACAAAAGTTAATGAGACTAGACATATGTTTGATTCTATTAGGTAATCAGCCACCCCAGTCAGTGTTGGGCTCTGGACCAAAAGTCCGCTCTCTACTGGACTTATAAACTGGACTACTGGACTTATAGGTCCAGTGGACCATTTATAAGTCCAGTTCCAGTTCAATTTTACTGGACTTATAAGCGAGCCCAACACTGACCCCAGTGTATCAGTCCCTAAATAAGTTGTGCGCAGCAAATCAAAGGACATTTACGCGTGCGCGTAAAATTATTTCTTTTACTATGAGAAAACAACTTTTTCAGCAAGATCAAGTGCCTACACATATAATTGAAATTTTGCTGCAGAAGGAATTCGTTTATTGATTGTTTTTGTAAACAATGTTTTTTCTTCAGTGAAAAAAAAGGTCTCACTTATACTTTCTAATCAATTAGAGGAAAAAAGCCTTTTTATTTCTAATTAATCAGATAAAGACGTTTTTCCTTATTATTCCTACGTTGATATATGTTTGCCGCGTAACTTTACAAGACAAATATATCAACCCAATTTTATTATTAGCCTTTATATATCGCTTAATGCTTTATTTTAACAATTAGTTCAACACAACACATTCTATGTAGAACGAAATAAAATAATGATCTGAGAAAAAAAATCAGGCTTTTAATAATTGCTTAAAAATGTATGTAACAAAAATATATACATAGACTTTATATATAAAATAGACAATGGAATATATATCTTTCTAATTAATCGAAATTGGCAGGCTATTTGCGTTTCCATTTGTGTTATTTGTAGTGCATTTGCATTTTTTCTTTTCTTGTGCTTCTGCAATCACTTCTACAATCATTTCTAGCCTTTTAACAATCTCTCTTAGTGCTTCTACAACCATTTCTAGTCTTTTTACAATCTCTTCTAGTGTTGCCACAAATTTTAGTTCTTCTTGTGGTTCTTGTTGGTTTTCTTGTAATTCTCTAATTTCTTCTTGTAATTTTTTAATTTCTTCCTGGAGTATTTTTATCTGATGAGATAATGCTTTGACTACGTCTTTAATTTCATTAATTTCAACCTTTCGTTCTGATATCACCTTTGCTTGATTTTCTAGAGAATTTTTTACACTATTGATTATTTCTTTGCTTTTGAACCCAACCTGATCCACTATTTTTTCTAATTGCTTTTTCTGATCTTCTAATTGATCATATAACAATTTTCTTATATGCATATTAGAGTTATAATTCAAATAGTAAGAAATTATCGTTGTAATTTTTTCAGGTTCATTATCACCAAAATGTTCAATTAATCTGCTTAAAGATATGATACAAATTGCAAAAAATATTTTGGTAAGAGTAACATTAGTGCTAATTAAATATCCTGATAAAATAGCTGGATAAATAACTAGTGTAAGAGAAATAATACGATTCAAGAAAAAAATTAACCCTTCCAATCGATTCATTGTCTTATTGTTCATAACAGAGATAAGATAATCTAATTTTTTCCATGGAAACTCTTCTTTTTTTTGATCATCACAACTAAAAATTGTATCTTTCAAGAATTTAATTAATTTTTTAATTAAAGTTTTCCACCCAAATTTTTCCTTTTTGTTCATTTCTTCTACCTTTCTCATCATTTTCCGATTAGACCAAAAATAATATATGAAAAATAAAAAATTTATTCCAAAACATGTACAATTTACTGAATAATTTAATATATTCAGCACTTGACATTTATCGGTTCCGAAATTGTTTGCACATAATTTACCAATATAATTAAAAGATATTATATTAACAGAATCCATATCATTCCCAATTACCAATATGCTATATCCAAACATTAGAACTAAGGACATTAAGGCGACTAATAAATAAACAAAACTTATCATAAAGTATGTTGTTTTTTTTATATTAAGAAGAGAAAAAAATCGAAGTTGAGATCTTAAACAAAATGATATAAAGGATACGTATCCAAATATCATATTTATGACTGTCTTATTATCGTATGATAGCCATTGAAATGCACTAAATGATGGGTTTATAGTAATGGAAAGCATTATAATAAAATCATCAAATCTGTTTATAAAAGAAGATGGGTTTCGTTTTTCATTTTTAAAACCTTTGAAGAGCACAATTACTACCGCTGGGAGTATTCCAATGATAACTGTATTAATTGCATCGTTTCCTGGATCATATTGATTATTTGAGGTCATCTTATGAATAATTAGTAAATGAAAAACACAATCGCAATGTCTTAAATATTTCAACGTTACTAAAATCTTTTACGTAAGTGCATACCCGGGTCACTAAACGGGTCCTCCACTTTGTAACATATTTGCATAAAACAATTATTTAGTTATAATTTTTGAACTTTGTGTAGGGTCACCTAAAAATGATAATAAAAGTTATGAAAAAAAGGGGGTGTATATGCACGTACGTCTGTAGCATCTTTGTTAGTAATGTCATACATATTATTCCGTTAACTCACTTAATACGTATTGATGCTTTTCTACGTATAATTATGGCAATAGTTTTTAGCTATAGATGGACTGATGTAACTATCATCGTGAAATAATCATTACCGCCTCACTATGGTCGCATGACGGAGATTAAAATTTTTTTTTTCCTTATTAGTTGCTTTTCCGGGCTTATTATCCGAGGCTTCATTTGTTACCACAATTGTAATGAATTTAAACTAAAGAAATGCGATAAAAGTAATTAGCATATAAATGTTTTTTGCTAATATCATTAGTTAACTAATACAGTCATAATAAAAACGTTAATTTTGAAGTTCATTCCTTGTCTGCGCACGTGTTTATATTTGATTCCCTAACAATAACTTTCATGAAACCTATTTCTTTTTGTTTTTTTATTAAACCCGTCATGACACGGGATGCTGTGGGGAGTACTTTTATTAGACTTAATAATTACAATAATCACAAGAAACCTATTTTTACCAACGCTAACTCTAGATCAGGTTAACCCTAGCTCTAATCAGCTTCGGAAAAATGAACGTCATTACATGGTAGACTCTGGACACACAATGCTATGCATTATAAACATTGATCTATCTCATGTAACATGGAAATTCACAGTTTATCAAAGAAATTTAATTACGATTATAAATGATAAATCTTAAATCCAAATAATAAAGAATGTATACAAGTAAAGATACTCTTAAGACTTAAGAACAAATAAAAATGCATACAAGTAAAGATATGCTTAAGACCGGAAAACAAATATAAAAATGTATACAAGTAAAGATACGCTTAAGACTTAAGAACAAATATAAAGAATGGATATAAGTAAAGATACGCTTAAGACTTAAAAACGAATATAAAAATGCATATAAGTAAAGATACGCTTAAACTTAAGAACAAATATAAAAACTTTATGTATGACTAAGTGTGTATAACAGTCTAATCTACTTTGTTTCAGTTGTGGCTATAGTCTTGAGATTCAGTTAGTCTAAATTGATCCAGATTGGTCTGGTCTTAAGACTAGCAGATCAATTCTTTCAGTTTAAATTGGTATCAGTTTTAGATTGTCTTAAGACTGTTGTTTATTATTTATTGCGTCTAAACCAGACCACACAACGTTTCTATGTATGACTAATATAACACATGTGACGATGAACCTAAGCACAAAAAGATAAAAATCTTAAGATAAAATGAAATAATAAAAATTGTACTTAGACCCAAATGACCAACTAATTTAGGTGGATAATTAAAAATCATGAGTACGTAGCGGTAGCTCAAAACTTATTTGTTGTACTGTACGTTAGTGAAATGGAATATCTACAGGTTCAGAACCAACTTAAGATAACTCTGAATCTATTAAGTATATTAAAAATAGAAATATACTATCGTTGTAAGCACATTGTTTTTTCGGTAGTATGCGGGTATCACTTATTTTTATAAATAAATTGAAATGTTTATATTTATTTTTTGATTCTGCATGGAGTTTTACGCTAATTAATAGTAAAGGTAGATTGCATTCTTCGCCTCATATACGTACGGTATTTTTGTTATTTGGAATTCACTTAAATGATTTCTAAATATGGGAATGCGCTAAATCTTTTTGATGAAACTTTTTTGAACTTTATCATAGATTTGACTTAAAAAAAGTTATTAAATTATTATTGAGTTATTTTAATTCAAAGTTTTAAAACCATTTAATTATAAAAAATTAGACACGTTTCTACTGACTAATCTCTATATATTGTATTTAAATTGAGATGGTTAGAGAATTTCGAACCAACCTAAAGTTGATTCTGAATCCATTTCAATAAAAATTTTAAAATAGAGTTTGATGTTTCCATCAGATATTATATATTAACAGTTTCTGAAAAAATCTTACATTAATGATATAATTTTGCAAGTCTACTAAAATGCGCCTATGGTGCTAAACACCATAGATGCTATTTCTCAAAAAACATAGGGTCCGGGTTCTAAGCAAAAATGGTCAGGACCCTGAAAACCTCATGAGAACTGAAATCAGAACCTTATATCTAACCTATTATGTTTTATAAAACTCCTCCTTTATCCTAAAACTGCTAAATTTTATTAATAAAAAATTATATATGGTGTTTAACACCATAGGTGCATTTTATAATTATTGTAATTTTGATTATTTTGTATACATAATTTTATAGCTTATGTGGAGAAGTTAAAGAATTCCACAAAGAAAAAGATTTCTAAAACATATAACTTCACTAAATAGATAACAATTAGATTTTACATTATTATTTCTATAAGTCCTTTCATCACTTTATATTTACACTGACTAATGCGACTACATTTTATTGCTCAGCATTAGAGAAAAGATGATTAGTGCGTGTAATTACAATAATCTGTGTGTCATTTGCTAAATTTTAAGAACTTCATTTAATCCAGGAATTTGATTTACCGTAAATTCTCGAAATAGCAGTTATTTTTAATTTTGGCTCGAATTAAGCTTAATTCTGGCCAAAATTCGAAATAACGCCCAGCCCGCTATTTCGAGAATTTACGAAAAAAAAAAGATTAAGATTCAGTTATTTACAGCTGTTTTCATTATTTTGGGACATTTGAAAAATTGTTAATGACCGAATCGATAAGTTTTTGATGTCATCCGACATCAGTAACTTATTGATTTCGACTCGGTAATTTATCGATTCGGCCGTCAAAAAATTTTCAGATGTCCCAAAAATAATGAAGCCAGCTGTAATAGAACGAATTCACGTTAGCTGTCAAATTAAATTTCGGTTCGGCTATAGCTTATTGATTAATAATTACAAAGTTAATTATAAATCCATATGTCGAATTCTCTGTTATTCAAGTTTATTTAAATTTCGCTGCAACTTTATCACTACAATATATATTTCAATTTGGAATCACAAATTTATAAAATTTAAACTTTTAGAGTTTTAGGTTTTCACGATATACAGTATATATATATATATTGATATTATTTTTACCGTATTTTTCGCGTAATAACGTGTATATGTATGTGTTAAAAAACATTTATGTAATCGTATAATTTATATTGATCCAAGCATACGAAACGCGCATGGGCGTTATTTTGAAACCATACATGTTATTTTCAAATGATGTGATTTTTGAAATAATGCTATTACACAAAAATAAGGCAGATTGGATTTCTATTTACGTATTACGGCTAATTTTGATTGTTTAACCTTTTCTTGGTTACTAAAACTGATTAGGGATTTATCAGTCAGTCCGGTTTGGTACGGTTCCTAGTACATATATACGTTGAAAAAGGCAGACTGGTTCTGAACTGATAGGTATCGGGATAATGAACACACCAATAATACACAATAACTAACGCGAAATGTCCTGTCAATTAGGGTAGATGGCATGGAAAATTTTTTGAGCATGCTCCAGCCCAAGGCATGTCTCCATATAGCATCCGATTTAAGGATCAGAACCGTTTAGTCGCATAAAAATTTTTATAGTGCCAGGCCAAATTATGTTGATTAATTTTAATGCTAGCTGAATTAAACGGTTAATGCTGTAAGAAAATAAGCGGTTCCAATCCCTAATTCGAAATATTTTTCACCAAAAGAACAAGCAAAACCCCCATCTTTGTTTTCTAAAGTGGCCTTGTAAAATTTCCGATTTTATAATTTAAACTTGTATCGTGTGATTGACTTACTAAAAATTACTTGCTCTTTATAATCATGTGGCAATGACATACTCTTTGACTAGGGTTGGGGCACGAGAAATTTTTGGCATGCCTTCAGGCATGCCCTCTATATATCGAATTGCAACGATTAATATGAAATTTGTTCTGGCCAATGACCTTAGATGGCTTTTAAGACCTGTCATAGGCCATTTGGTCATAACGAAGGTTGATATGACTTTTTAACAAAGAAAAAAAATTTTTTAAATAGTATTTAATATGACCTATATTACCTATTACCAAAAGTCATATGGGCTTGGTGCTGGGAAAAGGAATGAAATTGAAAAAAGTTCTTCACAAAAAATTAATTATCTCACGAACTATTGATCAGAATTAAATAACTTTTTTTTTTTTTTTTTTACATAATTGTCTCATAAAGACGAATCAAATGGTACCAAAATTATGTAATTCTGATCAATAGTTCGTGAGATAATTAATTTTTGCGGATATT